GACCTGGTCCCTTTCATTTCCTGTACTTCCCTTGCTAATCCCATCTAAACAGGGTCACTGTTGCAGATCCTGGCTCTTTCAGGATGCCCATAAGAAACCAAATAACTAGTCATAGATAGGTTGAAAAGCAATCAGATATAAACAATCTGTACCTCTGAAAAAGTTAAGATCTAGGATAGATATGCTGAATGAAGGCATTTCCACAGTTGTGAAACAATGTATGCTTTCTTCACATCTGATAAACTAGGCTGATGTCTATGAAAGCTTATGCTTCTTAAAAAGTCTTTAAGGGCATTTATACATGTGCTCCAGGAATGTGCGTGTAGTGGGGGGGTGCTTTAATTAGAGTGGCTCTAATTAAAGCCCCTGGAGCATTATGTGTACCAGTGTCCCCACGCTGAAAAATGGCATTGAATGAGCTTTAATTAAAATGCCCCCACTGCTCTTTTTCAGCATAGGGATGCTGATACACATGACACTGGAGTCTGGTAGAGCATGGTAATTTCCATGCTCCAACAGACTCGATTAATCGATTAATTATAGCGCATCAGAGCAGCTTTGCTGCACATGTATTGGTGCCCTAAGGGCCCATATACACGAGCGTAGAGGCCGCTCTAACGCACTGGAATTCCAACATGTTGGAGGAAATTAATTAATTGAGTCTGCTAGATTGTGGCAATTGCTGCGCTCCAGCAACTGCCTATGTCTTGTGTATCAGTGTCCCTGCACTTAAAAATGGAAGCAGGGAGCTTGAACTAAAGTTCAACAAATAATTGTTAGTTCAAGTGTCCCCACCACCATTTTTAAGTGTGGGGACACTGATATATGTGATGTGGTGGCACTTTAATTACACCAGCTCTCGGAGCCACTCTAATTAGAGTGCTATCCTCCCTACCCCCAGAGCACATGTAGAAGTGCCCTAAGATATCATCCTGTCCTGCTTTCTGCCTGCTTCATACCAGACAGGGGTCCTTTTGCCTTTGGCTTTCTCTCCTTTTCTTTGCAAAATGGGTTATGGAAATAACCGTGAAATTCTTTCTAGAGACTTGACAATGGAAGACATGCATCTACTGTGTTACACCCGGTTCTCAGCTAGAAAAATTGGTTGACTTTATTAATTTCATTTGAAAGGGAAAAATGGAGGAATCTTTGACGTTTCCTCTTCCTGAAAATCTCTAAGGCCTGTTTCTTTCATCTTTCTGTCCTAACATGAAATTACAATGTGCAGCAAATATATATCCTTACATATTTTAACCACAATCTCCAATTCAGAAAGCAAAATATTAGATTATGTTCTAAAAACAGTCAGAATTTATAAGAAATAAGACATCTTATAATTACATTTTCACCTAGGGTGGGATGTGCAACAGTACAAGCAGCTGCTCAGGAATAAACTAAATAATTCACTGTGAAAGAGATGATTTATCAGTCAAAGGTTTTCAAGTTGTGACCTCTGCTTTCTAAGAAGGACAAATTAATACTTTTTGTTTTTGAAATTGCTATGTTATTACTTTTCTGAAAAAGATAATAGCTAACCTAAAAACATAGATGTGATTTACTTTAAAACGAAAATGCACTTTTCTTTAAAAAGAAAAATAAACAAAAACTTTTTCTTACTGTATTTTACCTTTGTTTGAATGAATAGCTCCCCTACTCAGCAAATGTCCCACTTAAATAGCTACTGTTTTTGCCCTTATGAGCTACAAGTTCTAAGCAAACAGAGTGCACAGAGGATGCTAATACTATAGCCAGATCATATTCATCAATAGAAGGACAGCTAGAGCATTATGTTGAAGCCTTGTTAATAACTGGATAGCATAATGAATGTACGTACCAGCAGGGTAGCCATTGATCCACAGTCCATCATAGATGACACCAGAACAATGAATTATAGTGCCCTGTCCATTGAACATGTCATTTCTCCACTGCCCCTTCAAACAGAAATACACATTGATTTCAAATTTGGCTGCAACACAGGCTACTTTATAAAGAAGGGATTATTCTAGAGGGCTCTCAATAGCAGAGTGGGTGGTCTGCTAGGTTCTTTATAAATACCCTTCCAACTTTTGTGTGAACATGATGAATGGGGACCACACAACAACGAAGAATTATGTGGCACTCCACAGTGTACCCTCTAAGAGGGGGAAGGGAAAATTAAGTAATTCTTGCCCAAGATTTGATACAGTGGGGCACAATTGTCAGATGTTCTTCTGTTAAGAAATTACATTGCACTTAAATGTACAGAATGGGTTACTGCTTTGTCACATGCAAAATGATGCATGATTTCCCTTTTTGGAACGTTGTGAAGAGTGACACATTGGACCAAATTCAATACCAAGGACCTCAATGGCTTACATTTGGGTTGAATTTCACCAAAGACACATAATACATACAAAACAAATCCGTGTTCAAAGAACACCAAGGTTGCTAAGTTAAGTACTCAGTCAGGAACAGACAGAATTAAGGTTGCCTGTACAATCTTAGTTTGGTCCTCTGTGCATTAACTTTATTGTAAAGCCTTGATTTATGCAATCATACAATATTTTTTCTACAGACCCTATCATTCAGTGGTTGGCAGCTCAAGATTCGTGGCACATACAGATCTGTCAAGCTAACCAAGTAAATAATAATAACAGCAGTCATTCTGTATGTCAACCAAAACTGCTGGTCTATAGGTGAAGGTGAAAACATTTTTCTAGTAGGTTTTACTGCTATTTGCTGACAGCAGATGAACAGTGAGACTCAGGAATCTTGCATTCAATTCCATAAACTAAAGAAGACTATGCTGTGGTAGGCACAGACCACTCTAGCCATTTCCTTCAAAAGTGACCCATCCTAACCCATCCCTTCCTTGCTCAAAGTCCTGTCTTCTCCCTCACCAACTCTTCTCAATTTTCAGTCATGTTACACAGCCAGTCCTAGTATCCAGGCCTTAATGTTCTCAACCCATTTTCAGACTTTTTCCACAGTTCTCCCTTCTCCCCGGTCACAGCTCCATGTCCCAGTCTACTCTCTCCTCCATTTCCCTTGGTCTAGTTCTTCTGGCCTCTGAATTCAGGTCAGGTTGTCTCACCCATTATACTGTCTGACTGCCATCATGTGGGTATTAGAAGGAAAGAGGTGGAGATGTGAGACCATTGAGATCACAGCAAACAGTCCCTCTGCTCTCAGTTTCCTCGCTGGATATCACAGCAACCCCTGACTCCTACTAGCAGAAAACTGCAAAATAAATCCTGTATGATCTCTTCAGCATTGGACTGTCATGCTCAGTGCTGAAAGAATCTTTGAAGAATTTAGCTGTTGAATACTAACAAACTTAGAAAAATGCAAAAATCTAAGTTTGCATACTGGGTACAAACTTAGATTTTTAAATGCTTATATCTTGATCAAATTTGGACAACTTTTAGAGTGCTGGCAAAAGATGAACCCATGAGACAAATACAATCCTTTTTGTCAGATGTTGAGTACCAGATCCAAGGATAGAGGCCTTCAGCTTCTCAGTGAAACAGATGTGAAAATTTTAAGATGGGCAAAACATTTATACTGGAACTTTCCAAAATTCAGCCTGAAGTAAACACCCAAGAAGAGAAAATTTCAGCCTGAACAGTTTCCATATGCTGGAAACGATTTAGAATTGGACTAGGTAAGGAAGTTACTGAAGAAATATTCTGCCACAAGCAGGAGAAAATAACTCATATTTACAACTTGCTGGCCAAAGATGACCAAAAATCAAAGTGCAGGAAGTGAAGTGACACTTCCACAATATCTGCTAATAGTTTCATAGGTGTTAAAAGGAAAGGTATAAATTTATTTGACACCAATCCCTTAATTTTTGCAGAACAGTAGAAGGATAGAGAATGAGCATAGTTTAAAGGCTCAAGTGATCTTGTTGTGCAATGCTGCTTTATTGCAATTAAATTTAGGGTGGTCTGCAAGATTTCATATAATCATAGAACAACAACATAGGAAGGGTCCTCAACAAGTCATCTAGTCCAACCCTCTGCTCAAGACAGGATCATTCCAGGCCAACTGGCTTAGGGGTCACACCCAGAGAGTGGTGGTGGATGGGTCGGTATTGACCTGGAAAGATGTGGGCAGTGGAGTCCCACAAGGCTGTTCAATGTCTTCATTAGTGACTTGGATGAGGGCGTGGAAAGCACTTTGTCCACATTTGTAGATAATACCAAATTATGGGGTAAAGTTAACACACTAGAGGGTAGGGAATGAATCCAGGTGGATCTGGACAGGTTGGAAAAATGGACAGAATGGAATAGGATGCAGTTCAATAAGGACAAATGCAAGGTGTTGCACCTAGGAAAAAAGAATCACCAACACACTAACAGGCTAGGGGAGGACCTTCTCAGCAGCACAGTAGTGGAAAGGGATCTTGGAGTCACTACTGACTCCAAGATGAACATGAGTCATCAATATGACACAGGGATCAGTAAAGCTAACCACACTTGATCATGCATTAGCAGATGCATGACAAACAGGTCCAAGGAGGTGATACTTCCCCTTTATGCGGCATTGGTGAGGCCACAGATGGAGTACTGTGTCCAGTTTTGGGCAACACACTTCAAGAGGGATGTGGACAACCTCAAAAGGGTTCAGAGGAGGGCCACTCGTATGGTTAAGGACCTGCAGGCAAAACCCTACGAGGAGAGACTGAGGGCCCTGGATCTCTTCAGCCTCCACAAGAGAAGGCTGAGAGGTGATCTTGTGATTGCCTACAAATTCATCGGGGGAAGACAGCAAGGAATAGGAGATGCTCTGTTTACCAGGACACCCCTTGGAGTAATCAGGAACAATGGCCACAAACTGACGGACAGCAGATTTAGGCTAGACATCAGGAAGAACTTCTTTATGGTCAGGGTTGCCAAAATCTGGAAAGGGCTTCCAAAGGAGGTGGTACTCTCCCCTACTTTGGGGGGGTCTTTAAGAGGAGGCTAGACATGCACCTGACTGGGGTCATCTGCCACAGTGCTCTTTCCTGCCCAGGTCAGGGGGTTGGACTTGATGATCTGGTGAAAGACAAAGCAATTGGTGACAGACAACGAGGGACAAGGCTGAACTCCTCAATGAGTTCTTTGCCTCAGTGTTCCTAAACAAGGGGCAACACAAATCTCACAATGGGATCATAGAGAGACAACAGCAGGGTGCCAGACCACCAAATGTCAACCCTGAGATACTGCAGAGTCACTTGAAAGGACTGGATGTATTTAAGTCGGCAGGCTCCATCTGAGGGTACTGAAGGCACTGGCTAATGTCATTGCACAGCAACTGGCAAGAATATTTGAGCACTCGTGGCGCCTGGGACAGGTCCTGGAGGACTGGAAAAGGGCCAATATGGTCCCTATTTTCAAGAAGGGGAGGAAGGAGGATCCCAAGCAAGTACAGGTCAGTCAGTCTCACCTCCATCCTTGGTAAAGTCTTTGAAAAGATTATTAAGGCTCATATATATGAAAGCCCAGCAGGAAAAATTATGCAGAGGGGAAACCAGCATGGGTTCGTAGCAGGTAGATCATGCCTGACTAAT